GCCCCCCCCCCCCCCCCCCCTTTTCCACCCGCTTCCGGGAGGCCTCGGCTCCCCGGGACTTCGCCTTGTACACCGCGCGGCGGCGCGAGGCGCCGGAGGGATCCGGAGGGATCCGGAGGGCCCCCCAGGCCGGGCTTTCTGCTTTTGGAAGGTGCTGCCGCCGACGCCGGAGCATTCGGGGCACCTGGACAGGACGCTTGGCACGGATCAGGCCTTGCCGACAAAAGAAGCCCCATCTCGCTGCGCAGAAAGGCGCGCGCGCGCGCTCTTTGCCAGGCGAGGCTGCGCGACTCCTGGAAGCCGAGAGAGCCCAAGGCCGGAGCCGATTCAGCCGCGGCCAAGCGGCGAAGCTGCGAGTGCCTCTCCAGTCTTTAGAGATTTGGAGTCCAGTCGGAGTAGGCAAAGTTTCACTGGCTGAAGGCGAGGCTGAGTCGCATCCCCCCCCCCCTGCCAGCCAGATCCTGAATCCCATGCTGTTACTGCTGAAACACTCCGCTCAACAGATAAGGGGGAGAGTTTGACTCCATGTTGCAGGCCCACGTCTTCTGCCTGAGCATGGCAAACACTATCTGCAGTCCAACCTTTCTCGGCAACAGTGTCTAACCCACCTGTTGGTAGGATGAAAGGATTGCTTAGTCCTGTCGTGGCACTCAAAAACGTGAAATGTTGCAGAAGTGCTTCCCAATCCTGTTGCGAGAGTTCCAGCTGGCAAAATGGGCTGCTGCGCATCTCCCCAGCTCCATTGGTGAGCAGGCGTCGCTGGCACAGTTGCCAAAGCCCTCATCAACACCCTTCTCTCCGTGCTCAGCTGCCCTGGAAACCGCTGCCCTTCGAAAGGGTCGATTTGCACTTTACAGACCGCAGCGCCAAACCAGACAGCAGTTTTCTGGCTGATCGCTCACTTTTCTTTGGCAGCACATTGCCAACTTTGCGGGCTCCGTTGTTCTTTTTTTGTCCTGTTAGTTCCAACACAATTTCTCTGAAACTTGCCTGTGCTCGTTTTGTCTAATCCGACGAGTCGTTGCGGGACATGCGGGTGATCTTGCACTCTTTCCCGGTGCTGCGGACTTCGCACGCAGAGACCTGATTGCCCGCGCACACATGTCCCAAGTTGTTGGGGGTCATGTTGTGCCTCAGCCACCGACGAGTCTGCGAGCCCGAAGGCGCACGACCAAGTCAGCAGAAAACAACTGGTTCAAATCTGACTCGGTCATGGAACCCCCACACAACCTCCAGCGGAGAAGTGCAAGGGTTTGTTCTTGAGCACATTTGCGTATCATCTGCAGCTCAAAGAAAAGGCCTGGGGAAGCCTCGCCAGTTGGATCTTCGTTTATGAAGCTGGCTGCCACGATCAAGATCTCACTGTTGCCAAGATGGAGCAAGCACTTAGCCAGCATCATGCCGCAGGCTGCTTTGAGAGGAGGGAAGGGGGCAGCCGCGCAGGTCGTGGATCGCAAGGAGTGGACGCCGCGGCGTGGAGAAGCGCGAAGGGAGCTGAAGCCCCCGCGAGAGGAGGACTCCCGCCAGGCCTCATCGTGACGAAGCGCGCATCGGCATGAAACCGGCTGCCAGGAGATGTTCAGCTCCGTGGGACAGCTGCGCGCCGAGTCGCACATTGACGTGCAGCAGGGCAGCTTCGCACAGCAGCTGGGGAGCTCCCGCGAAAGTTGCGATGTTTCAGGAGCCTCGAAATTTTTGGCACTCTACCGGATTGTGCCCTCATGTCCTGCTTCCGGCCGCCAGGAAGTGGACTGCCGGCTGCCCTCTTGTCCCACCGCAGTTCTGTCGGCACTCCGAGGCAGGGCATCTATCTTACTTGGGTTGAGCACAGGCTGAGCGAAATTGTCGGGTCTGCTCTGTGTGTTTTACAGCTCCTGCCGCTTTTCAATTTGCTGTGGCTTTGGGGTTTTGGACCAGCAGTTGTTCCGTTTATCGTTTGTATTGCCCCCCGAAGCCCGTTTACGTGTTGGTGCAGTATGCTCCACAGGAGCGATTCGTGTCTTGATTTTGAGTTGGGGTTCCCCAACATTGGAGCTTTGATTGTTGCACTCTACTGACACACGGACACATGGCAACAAGATCCGTGGGTGCGCTCGTAGTGAATCGGTCTCGATTTACGCGATAAGGCCAAGAGTTGCAGTGAGAAGAAACCGGATTAGCCGTGCTGCTTACAGCATCTTAGGGCTGGCCTGTCGCAGGCTCCCGGAGCAGCGGGTGAACCACTCGCAGAGCACCTCGGGCCCACAGTAAGACGAGCTATAAGCGCAGAGAGTCAGCAGAGTCCTAGCAGCCTAGCATTTCCTAGCGCCACTTCGCAGTGCCTAGAAGAGGTCGGATCGAAAGTTTCGCTCAACGAGAGATCAGCAACTGGGCGCTCGGAGACGACAAGCGGCTGGGCCCTGTAAAGACTGGGGGGCCTTCCCTCTGCTTTGTGTTCTCTGTCTTGTTGGGCCCTGGGCAGAGTGGAGGGTTTCGTGGACGCGCATGGCCCGAGGCTCTTGAGAAAGGATCCTTTTTGCATGCGGCCGATGCAGCAGCCCAACAACTCCGGTGTCAAGTACGACATCATCACCAACGAGCGTAGCAAGTTCTGGTACTAGCGCACGTCCTGTACATAGCACGCAGCCCATGAGACAAGATGTCGGCGTGGCACATCTGACATCTGCGATTCCGAAGGAATCGTCGAAAAACGGGCGTGGGAGCCTTTGGTTCCAGTTTTCAGCTGTCACTGGGTTGCAGGGCAAAACCCCCAAACCCCTAAACCCTAAACCTTAAGCCCCACATTCTGTCGGTGTCATTTTTTGGGGTCTGAGAGTTGGCATCGCTGTGTTTTGAGTTCGAGACTTGGCAGACTTGGCAGACTTGAGAGTGGGATGGCATCACATCTTCAGAGGCAGCATCAACAGATTTTGGATTCCGGCACAAGGAATCAGCAGCGAGATGATGTGTCATTTGGGGAGCAACAGGTGTTGCCACAGTCAAGTGTTGAAGTCATCGAAAGTCGTTGAGGTAGCAGAGGAAACCCCAACCCTGACTGAGTTCTTGTGGTCAGCACACCCCTAGGTGTGGAAATGTGTGACCACGCAGCACAGTGAGAAGCTACCGGAGTAGACACTGTTCGACAACTTTACGCAGACATGGGAGTAGAGAGTTCAGACCTGTGAAGTACCGCTGCAAGTCTTGGACACGTGGCGCTGCTGCAGGAGCGCCTTTCCCGAAATGTAAGGCAAGAGACCCGTCAAGTTATGGAAGTATTTTACGTGCAGTCCACTTCATTATGATGCAGCACTTGTGTGAGACGACTCCGAAGGCGAAGTCCCACGAGGCCAATCAGATTCCAAGTGAAGTTGTTGGTGGAACTAAGCTGGAGATTTCCTTCATGCTAGGGCTTAAACCCTAAACCCTAACCGCTAAACTTGTGAGGGGCATGTTCCGGAATGACTGGCATGCAATGCATGCATCAAAAGTAATTAGAATACGCTTCAAATACGACAAGAGTACGAGAGGGAACACGAGAGGAACTACGAGAGGCAATCCAGCAGCAGCGGACAATGCGAGAAAACTACGAGAAAATTACAAGAAAAAATACGAGAAAAGTACAAGACAGCAATAAGACGACCATGCCTCTGCAAAACGAATACAAGAAAAAACATGAGAAACGAGAGGACCAGGGCCGGCCCGGCGGAGCGTGGGGCCGTGGGGCCGCTCCAGGCCGGCCGGGGCCCGCCCCTCTCGTCTTTTTGCCTTGAGCTCTCGTATTCGCATTTTTCTCGTAATCTGTTTTGACGTCGAACACCCCGCACGCATTTTTCTCGTATTTGTTCTCGTATGAAATGCGTACTTAGTTGTTTTTAGTACATCCCAATGATGCCGGGCCCGTGCCCGTCTTTTCGGAGGTGCCGGCTTGTATGATGCTGGTCGTCTCCCCCAAACTCGGAGGCACGAATTCGACAAGACTGCACCCTGCTGCTGCAGAAGAAGAGCCCAGACGAATGGGTTTATCACATAGATTAGCATTGGAACAGCTGGGTTCAAGCTCTTAATACGCATGGCGTGTGTGGGGCAGGAAGCATGACAAGCAGTCGGAGAGCAGTTGATACTTCAATGGAAGCATCTTCAGCAATTCGAGTTTGAGAACATTCAACAAGTCGAATTGTAGTTCATGAACTCTTCCAGGCATGAACTACTACTTTTACGGCTTTGATTCCCCCTTGTTTGGCGGCAGCTATCTCTTCGAGGCCTTGCACATGCGGGTGGTATCGCAGGATGGACCGTTTTGGCGGTTTCCGCGTGTTGCTCAGAGAGCCCAACCAGCAACGCAGTTTCAAGGACTGCTGCTTTTCAGCCGCTTTGCAGGTATTTCCGCTGTTTGCGTGGCAATAGGCACCAACCTCGGTGCGACCCGCCGATAAGAAGGACCCTTGAACTTTTGTGGAAACATGCTGAGCGAAGCATCGCGAACCAAGGCAAAGCTCGAACATTCTGAGGCAGGGAGCTCCTGCCGGTATGACTATTCGTGTTGCACAGCATTTAATACTTGCATTACCACTAGAAGTCATCTCAGTGTTGGTGCGCGGCATTCGTGTGTCAGAGTGTGTGTGTCATCTTGGCTGTCAGGGTTCACGAGAGGTGGGCTTCCATGCTCCTGCTTGGAAGGCTGTCAAGGCAACGGAAAAGCCGCCCTATGCGTCGGCCGCCGTGGGCTTCACGACAGTGCGGCTCTTAGACCCTGATGGGTCCAGTTTCCCGTCGTGCGCCATGCTATGCGTTTATGCTTGCCGGCCAGGTTGTGCCACAATCCGCTGATGTGCCCCAGGAGGTGGCCTCAGGGGTGGTGCCGTGAGGATGGAGAGCATGGCATAGCCTGCGCCCAGCTGGGATGGGTCAGGTGCCTCGAAAACAGCTCTGCCTGGTCGAGTATTGTTCTTTTCCTGAGTGGGCAAGGGGCGTCAGCCGTTCTCAAGACTTTCTTGAGTTCCCTGAATGTCCTGGCGAGTTGGTCGGGGCATCCAGCCTGCAGCTATGCGAAACTATCTGCGTCAGAAGAACCAACAAGCCCCCTCCCATTGAGTGCCCCCTCCTTGGCCAGCAGTCCCTTGCCACAAATCTTCTTCTTACCTCGCCACTCAGAGTGGCCGCAAGGTAACTGCATGTTGACGGGCTCGAATGACATGGTTGGGTTTAGCAGAAACCAGCCCGAGTCTGTGAAGTGCCGGCACCCGAAACCCTAAACCTTGAAACCTTAAGCCCTAAACACAAATTTCATTGTGATTTTACATCTAGCAGGTGAGTGGAACAGCGAGACTTGAATTTTACAGTGCCGGACTGATTCAAGTTTGTGTTGTGGCCGATTCAGACAGTGAACATATACAAAGGCATGCCATACAAGCATATGGCTGCCCTAGGACACTAGCAGAAGGAACTACGAATAAATAATTGTCCCAAACAAGCATGAGTTCCTCTACAGCGAACCGGTCTCCCGACTTCTTGTAGTCCAGCTTTTCGATGCCTTTACAAGAGGTTTTCAATCACAGGTCAAAAGGGCGCCGACCCGCGGCCTAAACAGGGTCAGAGAACTTGCACGAGGGGGCACTCTCTGGGAGGGGGCAGGTTCATGCCAGGCCTTTCAGCATTCTTTCCCGTGCCTTGGCATCGCAGCTTCCGAGTTTTGTGCTGCTGTGCTTCATGGAATGTCCCAGGTCCAGGACTTTGTTCAATTGCGGCCCGTTCGTCGCCAGCCGCCATCCAAGGCGGACTGGAAAGAGGGAGTGGATCCTTTGCTAGTTTGAGCAGAAAGGCTTACCAAGAGATCTTGGACATGGATCCGAAAAAGCCGGAAAACTCAGCTCCCTTCATCACTTTGCGTTCCAACATGTTACCATGTTTATCGTGTCTTGTAAGGTGCAATCAGATTCTGAAGATTGAAGCCGTCCGCTCCACAGAGCAGTGGGCTACCCCAATGACAATTGCCTGTCAATGACACAAGGCAAGCATATCGGTCGGGATCTCGCAGGTTTCAGGGGTTCAGAAGAATGGATGAAAGGGGTGTAGCATTTGCTCATTACGGTGTTTGGGCTTAGAGTTAAGTTTAAGTTTAGGCCGGAGGTTTGCACAAACCAGTTCGGGACCTGGCTCCTTGAGTTGGGCTTCGGGTACCCGATTCCCAGATTCCTCCGTGGCTTGAAGCCTCCGTGGCGCTCCAGCTTCAGCAACTGCGTCATGTCACGTTGGCCTGTGTAGAAGGCAGGTGCGTAGCAAGCATGATTTAAAGGGACGTCAGGGCCAAAACCTTGCCTGGCTTTGTGGTTCATGTTGAAGCGCCTCAGCAAGCCACTTTCACCTTTCCATGGGTGGCAGAATAGAGGATGGAGCTTGTAGTGTCGGTCGTGTATGGCTTGACCGGCGCAGCTGCGGCTTCGGGAGCGGCTAGCATGTGAAAGCTTCAGCAGGGCTTGGCGCAACGGCGGGCGTAACAGCCTCGGCCTCGATCCTTCTTGCAAAGGCCCGCTTTTGCTTAGCTTGGGCGTGATGTGCCTTGGATTACTTTGGCAATTTGGAAGCCTGTTGCTCCAGGATTTGGGATTGAATTCCAAAGTTGACTAGCTCAGCCTTTCGGCTTCTTGCCACCAGCCGCAAAATCTGACTCTTGCAGGGCCGCGAGATCATCCGCCACTTCTCTCTCTCTCTCTCTCTCTCTCTCTCTCTCTCTCTCTCTCTTCTTCAACACAGTCAAAGGGCAGGCGCGTCAGCCCCCACCCTCGCGCACGAATGCGCCCTGTCT